GCCGGGATGAGGAACTCGACGCCATCCTGTATAAGCAAGGGATCGCGCTTTCGATGACAACATGGCCGCGTAGCACCGCGAAGCCACCGCGTAGGATGCCATCTTCGTTGACCTCACCTCCAATGACGATGAGTGATGATCTCCGCCGCCGCACCCGAAAGGCTCCACTGAGCCATACATTGGGCATTAGGGTTAGGGGGTAGGCGGCCTCCTTCGATCTAGTATATGTAAATCAACTATGTATGGATGATCAAGTATGTACGGACGCACCTAGTTCTACTGGTTGTGTTCCTCTCTCGCGCAAAATTTTATTTTCAATTTTTAAGGTCCATTTGAGGTTTCTGTTCTACCGCGGTTATTTTCGGCCCTTATCCGAGCGACCGCGAACTGTAAATCCCTTATTAGCGCTAGCCTTATAAGGGGTCTGCTAGAGATGCTCCAAGGGCATCTTCAACATGGACACTCAAACCTTCTGCATACGTTCGGGCAGCTTACCCGGTCCGTTCCCTCAAACCGGAGAAAAAGTGAGGGATATGCGGGCGTCCAGACCGCTGCCACGTCCGCATCTGACCGTCCTGGCCCACTTGAAACACCCACCCGCTCTCCTGTGCTTTCCATCCAACGGCTGCGCTGCTTTCCGCGCTGCATTCATGCCAGCCCAGTGAAGAAAATATGCCCTAGAGGCAGTAATAAAGTTGTTATTTTATATTTCCTTATATCATGATAAATGTTTATTATTCATGCTAGAATTGTATTAAACGGAAACTTGATACATGTGTGGATACATAGACAAAACATTGTGTCCCTAGTAAGCCTCTACTAGACTAGCTCGTTAATCAAAGATGGTTAAGTTTCCTAACCATAGACATGTGTTATCATTTGATGAATGGGACAACATCATTAGGAGAATGATGTGATGGAAAAGACCCATCCGTTAGCTTAGCATAATGATCGTTCAGTTTTATTGCTATTGCTTTCTTCATGTAAAATACATATTCCTTCGACTATGAGATTATGCAACTCCCGGATACCGGAGGAATGCCTTATGTGCTATCAAATATCACAACATAACTGGGTGATTATAAAGATGCTCTACAGGTATCTCCGAAGGTGTTTGTTGGGTTGGCATAGATCAATATTAGGATTTGTCACTCCGAGTATCGGAGAGGTATCTCTGGGCCCTCTCAGAAATGCACATCATAAGAAGCCTTGCAAGCAAAGTTGCCAATGAGTTAGTTGTAGGATGATGTATTATGGAACGAGTAAGGAGACTTTCCGGCAACGAGATTGAAATAGCTGTGAAGATATCGACGATCGTATCTCAGGCAAGTAACATACCGATGACAAAGGGAATAACATATGTTGTCATAACAGTTCAACCGATAAAGATCTTCGTAGAATATGTGGGAGCCAATATGAGCACTCAGTTTCCGCTATTGGTTATTGACCGGAGAGGTGTCTCGGTCATGTCTACATAGTTCTCGAACCCGTAGGGTCCGCACGCTTAACATTCGATGGCCATTTTGTATTATATGAGTTATGTGATTTGGTGACCGAATGTTGTTCGGATTCCCGGATGAGATCACAGACATGAAGAGGAGTATCGAAATGGTTGAGAGGTACAGATTGATATATAGGACGATAGTATTCGGACACCGGAAGTGTTCCGGCGGGTACTGGGTACATATCGGGTCACAGGGAGGGGTTACAGGCACCCCCGACAAAGATATGGGCCTAATGGGCCAAGAGGGGAAACGCAGCAGCCAGCAGGGGCTGCTGCGCCCCCATATGGGCCGAACCATAGGAGAAGAGAGAAGGAAGGGGAGGGATTCGACCTCCCCCTTCCTTCCCTCCTCTCTCCTCCTTCCTCCCCCTCCGAAAAATATTGTAAGAGCGGGGGGGGGGGGGATTGGACTGGGCCCCCAAGTAGGATTCCTCCTACTTGGGGCACCCCAAGGCTGCTCCCCT